GTCATATTAAATAGTGTTATAACTATTATAAAAGCATAGTTTAATTGTATTTTTTCAAAAAAAAAACTTGTCAAGTATTTGTCAAGTATTTTTTGAAGAATTTATTCAAAAATACAAGTATTTTCGATTTTGGATCTGGTCACACTGATTATATCATATATTTAGTCTAATTGTGAACAGTGTACAATAAATTTAAAACTTTAAATATTAAACTTAAAATAAATATTAATACCCATAATTATAAATAAATAGCAACCAAAATATACGATATTAATAAATAAGTATTCTGAATTATAATAGTTTAGTTACACTTATATTTATAAACTTTTTTAAATCAATAATTCAAATTGATTTCCAGATTTGCACTTAAATACTATTATCACTGATTTATGCGAGCATTTGATCATGAATTGCATTAATCCTGTGGTATAGTAAATAAATAAATAAAACACATGTGGCTCATGGGTAACCAAGGTACATGCAAGTACCAAGTTATTTAAAATTAATTGACACAATTATTATATTTAGATTGTATCTATGTCATTTCAGTAAATAATAATATTAAACTTATTACATTTTTTTTGCTTGGCACCTGTATAAACTTTTCATTAGTCTTGTTTAATAAATTACTTTCTATAATACAACATATTAATTTAATATCTAAAATGTTCAAGATTTAATTAATTAATCTCGGCCGTTACACGACCGTTAAATTTATGTTTATTTATCCGGGTTAGCTAATGATGTATGTAATTTTAACAGTGCAAAATTTTACTATATAAGCTAGTGGATTATCAGAAAATAATCATGAAACAAATAGTTTAATTATATAATTTTAAATATAACTTACCAAGTATATTTTTAAAATCTATAATGAATTTCATAAACAGTTTACAGTTTGTCACACTAATTACGGCTCTTATTGTCGGTAAGTAATAATTTATATATTTTCAATTAACATAGGTGATTTAATTAAAGATTTTATTACTATAAAATAGGTGCAACCCATGGAGGCTTGCTTGGAACCGGTAGCCCACTATCGGGACCAATTAACCTAGTTAAAAAGGTTCTAGATCCATTGGGCGTGGTTGACAATTTTGTAAAAAGTTGCCCGTTCAGTTTTCGACCACCACCCACTCCCGCACCACTAGCACCGGTCACAGCACCTGTAACTAGTGGCCCGGTAGGTGGTAATAGGCCTGCGGTTATAAACGTGGAAATCGAGCAGTTGTTGAGAGACGACAGTCGCCTCCATTTGGCCGCAGATTTTAACAACACTTTAAAGCAACTAAACGTCGACTTAAGCAAGTTCATGGTTGTTGACCCCACTCAGCCTGGTCATAGGGAAATTCACCTGGGTAATGAATTAAATTTAAAATATAAAAATACCTAGTTAATATTTTCTATAATCATTATAATAGCGTTCACGCCGTACGTAAACACCGCGTTATCGGTGGATAAGCACTCGAAATGTGACGGAAACGCGAGCATAACTGCCCTCTATTTGAACACTACATACTCGACAGACATGGCGTGCAGTGGCTATCATTACAAACAATTTCCCTTTGAGTACACGATTGACGTGAACGGACAGCCGGAAGTCCTACCCCTCGCCGCCATGAATCAGGCCATGGCGTCGGTGAACGGTATGTGAGAAATGAATGTAAAGTTATTTC